GGACTGTGCCGTTAAACCCTTCTGAACCATGACCTGGAGGCTGGGAGGGGAGGCTGAGGCTGTGGACTTCCACAGTGCTGTGCGAGGATTTACACAAGGTGCATCCATTCCAACTTCTAATTTTTGCTCTTTCTTTTTTGTTCCCAAGTAGAGAGACCACTAACATCCCTGGGTGTGAGGACTGACGGCAGGATGGGCCCTGGTCTGCTGAGGGCCACGGGGAGAAACAAGGAGTCCCATGTGGTCTCCTCCAAACCTGTGGTTATGATCACCTCTCGTCAGGGCGGGGGGAATATAAAGGCTCCGGTAGCGGTGCCTTTGGTAACAACGGGACGTGGCCAATGCTAAGGCTTGGATGAGAAAGCGAATGAAAGAACATGGCTCAAGACCTATCAGTCTTGATGTCTGTCTCCCTCTCCCCACCCCAGGGACCGCCCACTGTGGGACTGCCATGAGCGGGCAGGCAGGCCTGGCATCACCCAGCTCTCACACTGGCAGGCCGAGCATGGCTGTTAAAACCCCGGGGGCAGACTGGTGAGCTGTCTGGATGCTGGGCCTGTGGCCTGGATTCAAGTCCTGGCTCTGCTGTGTACAACTCACATCCCCTCTCTCTGCCTCCATTTCCTCATCTGAGTGGGGATACCAGCCACAGCAGCCACCTCACAGGGCTGGCAACTGGCACACGCTGACCCTCAGCAAGATCCTGCCTGTCAGGATCCCTCTGTAGGCCTGAATCTCTCTCCCTCTCTCGTCCGCTCTTTTCCCCAGAGGTGGAAGCTGAGACAGAGCCCAAGGTCAACACCTGGCCCCCACATGACCTCCTAGCCACTGGGTCCGCTCTCAGGAGGCCCTGGAGAATATCCTGAGGGTCGGCCTGGCGGCCAGTCTGTGCATGGACAGCGGAAACTTCTAGGACTGCCTCCCCAGCGTTCCAGCAGTCCCCCTCCTCACCTGAGCACCCACAGTCGTAATAGGCATGAAACGGCACTCTACTGCCGAGTCTCTGCCCTGCCAAAGTCCCAGCATCCAAATGGGGGGAATACGCCCCTGCTAGATCTGCAGGCTGACCACGTAGGGTTGGAGTGAGCCGTAGCTGAAATGGCAAACGTCGTCACCATGTGCAGACGGACCGACAGCGCACACACGGGTCTTCTCCAAAATGTGGGTACGCAGGGAACGTGGGTGTTTTACGACAAGCCTGGGAAGGTTGGAGCTGTGAACTCAGGCTTCAGCAGGCTTCGAAACTGCGGCCGGACCTGAGGCAGAAGTGGACCCCGCTTCCCTCCCCAGTGAGCCCTCTGACGACACCACCGAAGAAGGCCTGGCCTGGGGGGTCAGGCCTGCCCCACGCCGGGGCCTGCGCACAGGTTTCTCTCCCGTGTGGATCCTCTGGTGGTGGAAGAGGGCCGGGCGCTCGCGGAAGGCGCGGCCACAATGTGCGCACACAAAGGGCTTCTCACCCGTGTGGATGCGTCGGTGGCTGAGCAACACCGCGCCCTTGGCAAAAGCCTTCCCGCAGTCCCCGCAGCGGAAGGGCCGCTCGCCCGTGTGCAGCAGCTGATGCTGCGTGAGGTTAGAGCTGTGGCTGAAGGCGCGGCCACACTGTACGCAGGCGAAGGGCTTCTCGCCTGTGTGCACACGCTGGTGATTGGAGAGTGAGGAACCCTGGCTGAAGGCGGCACCACAAAGGGCACAAGTGTAAGGCTTCTCCCCTGTGTGCATGCGCTCATGCTGAATGAGGTGTGAGTTGCGGCAGAAACGGCGGCCACACTGGGCACACGCGTAGGGCCGCCCGCCTGCATGGATCTTGCGGTGCTGGCTGAGGTTGGAGCCGTGGCTGAAGGCCTTGCCACACTCACTGCAGCGGAAGGACTTCTCGGCTGTGTGTATGCGCTGGTGCCTCACCAGTGAGGAGCTATGCCGGAAGGCCTTGCCACAGGCCGGGCACGCGTAGGGCGTCTCACCACTGTGGATGCGCTGGTGCTGCGTCAGGTGCGACGTCTGGCTGAAGGCCTTGCCGCACTGCGCGCATTCGTATGGCCGCTCTCCAGTGTGTGTGCGCAGGTGCTTGAGCAGGTCCGAGCTCTTCACGAATACTTTGTTGCACGCCCTGCATTCGAAGGGCTTCTCCCCGGGAAGGAGGCCAGGGCCTGGGTGGAGGGCCTTGCCCAGCTGATCCCAGGTTGGGGGCTCCTGGCCAGCAGGGAGTCCATGAGGCTTGTGGCTAGCTGGACTCTTTCCTCCTTCCCCAGAGGTGAGACCAGACTCAAATTCTGGAATTTTGGGAAAAGCGCTTCCAGGGGCCTCCCGCCCATATGGCTTCTGGCCCCCACATGCCCTTAGCTGCTTGCCTGGCATGGGGCGGGTCACAAGGGCCTTCTCTCTTGGTGGGCTCTCCTCGACCGTCCTCAGTGGGGAGGTCAGCCGCAGACTGACACTGGCCTCCCCACCGCCAGGACCTAGCAGGAGCCGTTCCCAGTAGATTACAGACACCCCTGTGGGTTTTTTCTCCTGAGAGGGGGAGGTGCCCCGCCAGCCCTCCAGGCTTTTCCCACGCTCACAGATGCCAGCAAAGGGGAGGACCCTCGTAGGTGCTGGAGGGGAGCCGTCATGGAAGGCCCCTGGCAGTTCTGCTGCTCCTGGAACAACCCTGTCGTATGCCAGGTGACGGGAACCTGAAGGCACAGAAATGGTAGACCCTGGGTCATGCTGGCCGAGACGGGATGACCAGGGCAGGCCTAGCGGTCAGACAAAGGGGATGCCAAGGACCGTGCGCGAGCTGGGGAGGAAAGCAGCAGCCAGACCAGTGTGTGTCATTCCCTTCTGTCTCGGGGGACTCCTCCAGCCTCCTTTTGCTCCTTACACGGATGGCTACCTGCCGCTATAGGCTTTACTCACAAACTCTGTTTCCCCGCTGCCTCTCCCCTAGCATGGTCAACTCCATGAAAGCAGGACCAGGAGCGTCCTGGTAAAGGCTGTGCCCCGGTGCCCGGAATGGGGTCCCACGGGAGCTCCCCCTTGGTGGGCGAGCCAAGGCCAGAGCCTCCAGGAGGGGCTGATGGTAGAAGGAGAACAGGACGGAGTCAGGTGGGAGGCAAGAGATGAGAGTCTCCAGGAAGGCAGGGAAAGGGGGACAGAAGCCTGGCCGCCGGTGGGCCCAAGCTCACACCCTCTGAGTCCCCACTCACCAGGGCTGGGCTTCCTGTGAGCATTCCTGGCTGGTGTCGCAACCGTCCCACCGAGAACCCAGGGCTCCTCGCCACGCTCAAGCTGGATGACTACCCGGGGTCTTGAGGCAGAGAGTCCTGTGAGAAAAGACAAGCAAGTGAGGGGCCAGGCCCAGCACAACAGAGGACAGGAGTCACGACTTTATGGGACATAGATGGTGTCATCCGTGCACCCAAGAAGACCACACCACAGGGCAGGACTCACAGGAAAAGTGCAATGGTCCCTGTGAGGAGAACCGTGTTGGCAGCAGCAGATGAAAGGGGCCGAGGCTGAACACAGAGGCGCCACGGCGGCACAGGGACACTCAGCCAGCTGGTGTGAGGCTGCTCATAGGCCAACAGGAGATATGGGGTTAGTGCTGGCAACAACTGAGCTTCCCGTGGAAAACCCAGGGCCTTACCCAGCGAGGCCACAAGTGTGAAGTTCTCCAGCATCACGTGGCAGTACAAGGCCCTCTGGGCTGGGTCCAGGAGCTCCCACTCCTCCTGGGAGAAGTACACGGCCACATCCTCAAAGGCCATCAGGCCCTACAACAGCGGGCAGGGGAAGATGGACACGGTCTAAGCTATGGCTCTAGGACCCAGGACCCACCTCCCTGTCCCAAAGGCTGCCTTTCCCCATGTCCCTCAGAGGCTTACCTTCCTCCCCCCCTCCCCGCCCCCCCAAGCTCTGCAACTCTGCAGACGAAACTTCTCTCCTCTCCCCTACACCCTACCGGTCCAGGGCACAGATGCCTTCTCGGCCTCTCCACTGGCCACTCACACAAGGCAGCCAGAGCAAGCTCACGGCCTTCAGATGGCTGCCACCCCAAGGGCAGGCCCAGGTGCCCACCTGTGCTCCAGCCTTTGCACAAACTGACCCTCCCCAGACATGCCCTTAACCGTTCCTGTAACGAGCAGTTGTACAAGTCCCAGCTATGGACCCGCCAGGACCTGCCCAGGCCTGGAGGGACGCCCCCTTCTGCTGAACTTGCCTGACATCCCAAGGCTGCTCCTCCAGCATGAAGGACTGGCTGGCTGATCCCCTCCAGTCACTACAGGAGGGGGCCCAAGGATCTGGTGAGCACACAGGAAGCCAGTTTCCTCCTCCCTCCATAACCACGCCCACCCCTCCCCCCCATTTCCCTGGCCAAAACCCTGCCTTAGGCCACTTGACTTCCTCCCAGAGCCCCAGGGGCTACCAGCCTGTCTTCACCTCCCTGGAGTGCTACGCATCCCTGGCTGAGTCCACAGGATTCCTTCCTCCTCAATGTGATTCCCAGGCCCTGCCGGCTCAGAATATCAGGACTGTGTCCTCGGACATCTGCAATTCCAGGTCCACGTGATACCTCCACTCCGGGACAGCACAGATTCCCTGATCTTACTCTGAAGCCTGCTTTCCCTTCAAATGCCTGTGTCCGTCTACAGCAGTTCTGTTCTTCTGGGTGCTCAGGCCAGAAAACCTGGGACTGTGCTCCACTCGGGCCACTGGCTCCCACGCCGCACCTGAGACATCAGATCGCTCCAGAATCCGACCACTTTCCCCATCTCCACTGGCCCGGCGTGCCGCAGGTGCCGTCTTCCGCCACCGGGGCTGTGGCAGCGCCCGGCCCCTGCACACGGCCACCCCCGCTCTGCGTCGTTTCTCCGCCAAGCAAACCGTGGGATACTTCTAAAGACCCTAACTTAAAGCACGTCCAGTCTCCGCTCGCATCCTCCCCCGGCTCCCGACACAACTCCTCAGCCTGCCATTTCTCCCCCGTGCTCACGTCGGGAAGCTCGGTTCCCGAAGCGCCTAGGCTCCGTCTCCCCTCCCCGCTTTTGCACGTGCGGGACCCTCCGCTCGGAACTTCCTTCTACACCTCACTCCCTTGGCTGCCCGAGGTGGGGATCTCACACGTGCACGCTCCACTGGCCTGAACGCCGGGGCCCAGGACGAACCGAGAGGGGAGACAGGACGTTCGGGTAAAGTCCCCCCCTGAGCCGAGACTCGGGTCCCTCCCGGGCGGGGTCGAGGTGGCCGGGGCGGGAGGGGGTCTTGCGCTTCCTCTACTCACCTGCGCCGGGTCCGTCAGCGCCGCGGTCGCCATCAGAACCTGTACTTGCGGACGCGCAGAAAGCGACGGCTACGCGGACGTCCCGGCTCCGGGCCTCAGTCTCTCCGCCGTCTGGGGCACAGACGCCCAGGACGCCGTCTCCCCGGCCGCCCGGGGGTCGGAGAGCACGTGACGCGGGGCACCGCCCCACAGCCCCGCGGGGCGGCCCGGGCTACACCCGGAGAAACCGAGGCTCGGGGGGCGCGACCGTCGCCGGGGACCACGGCGTGCGCCTAGCGGCCCTCCGCTCGCGCCCTCGTCGCGGCCCTCGCCCGGCTCTCCGAGGCTCCTGGAAGGCCGAGCCGGGCCCGCCGCGCTGCAGTGCCCAACACCGGTGTGGCCCCACGCCCCGCAGCGAAGTGACAGTCCCGGACGCCGGAAGTCCGGCCCCCGCAAGCCCTCGCTGGCCCAATGCGCGCCGCGGACGCACGCGCGGCGCCTTCTGGGAAGCGTAGTTCCCGCCCGCCCTGCGGCCGGGTGGGCGGAGCCCTTTCCGACGTCCGTGGCCACGGCCAGGCGGCTCCGCGCAGCGCGCTGGGAAATGGAGTCCCGCGGGCGCGCCCCCGCGTCCGTGGGCCGGTGCGCCTGAGGCGGGGAGTCGCCTGGCTGGGCGTCCTCCGCTCGGGGTCCCGGGAGCCCGGCCCGCGCCCAAGCGGCCCCGAGGCTAAACGCCGGACTCGCAGAAGCGGAAGCGGCTGAGGTCCCTGGAGGCGACCCCAGCCTGGGGCTTTAAGGACAAAGCCCAGTGGGAGGGGCGGGCTCAGACCGGTGGCGCTCGGGCGGCGAGCCCGGGAAGGCCGACCCCAGCTCCGCCTCCGGAGGCCTGTGCTCGGGTGTGGCCTCTGTGTGGCCTGCGAAGGGTGGACACCAGTTTGGCAGCCCCTACACCCAGAGGTGCAAGCCCCCAGCCTCAAGTGTGCTTGAGTCTGAGTTGTTCTCCGAGACGTCCCTGAAGCACCTGTTTCCCTTGCTAAACCGGCCGCGCACCACGTTCTTTCCCAGATTTGCTCGTCTTGGGTCGTCTAGGTGTTGCTGGCACATCACGGTATCGATTCCTGGGTCCTTTCTCCCTGGGACAAGCTGAGTGTCTGTCGCACATAAAAACCAAAGGAAAGGCGGCCTCGATGCCCTCGGACGACCGCTGGCGCAGAGTAAGAGTTCCCTTTGTTGCTCCACGGTGAGGGTTGCTGGTTTTTCAGGGTCCTTCATCTTCGCACACAGGTGGTACGATAATGTTCCCCCGTGCATGTTACCCACTGTTTTAAGGAAGTACGGAATTAATCTGTGTCACGTTCGTTCATTCTTTCTGCCTGCCTTCCTCCCTCCCTCCCTCCTTATATAGGCACCTATCTCAGCCATAACTGTCCTTAGAATGCAAATCCTCGAGATGCACGAGAGCACATCAATTTTGGAATACTCGTGTGTAAATATTGCTCACTTTGAAAGAATTTAAGAAAATCTCATATATTAAACTCGTGATTTAACCAAAAGCTTGGAGACATTAATATTTCAGGCACTGTTTGAATGTTTGGAGACACTTAATTTCTTAAAACTTCTTATTTTAAAATTATCCCTATAGGGGCGCCTGGGTGGCTCAGTCGTTAGGCGTCTGCCTTCGGCTCAGGTCATGGTCCCAGGGTCCTGGGATCGAGACCTGCATCGGGCTCCCCGCTCCGCGGGAAGCCTGCTTCTCCCTCTCCCACTCCCCCTGCTCGTGTTCCCTCTCTCGCTGTGTCTCTCTCTGTCAAATAAATAAATAAAATATTTAAAAAATAATAAAATAAAATTATCTCCATAATGTGTAATTAGACCAGAGGGATCTTGATTCCCTGATATTTAGAGAAATGCTAATTGTTTGATAAATTCATAAATTAATGTATTGGAAATGAAATAAAAATGGCAACAAGTCTTCCTCTGTACACAAAATAGCTCCACATCCCCGGCTCCAATGTCCCCTGAACAAGACTGTACTGCGGGGTAGGGGTGGGAGCAAAGGGGGCTGTTGTCTGGGGCAGGTGGTTGGACCCTAACCAACCTGGTTGGACCTCTGAACAGTCCAGGTGGGCTCTTGCGTGAAATGTAGGCAAGCCTCTTACCAGGGGATACATTCTTACAGGCCTCACCGGCCGCAGCTAGGCAGATGCAAGAATTATTCCCTCCCATCTCTGTGAAAGGTCTACACTGTTTCAAATTGGCAGCATCAAATGAGATGTTAGTAATTCTTCTGTATCTGGTGTTTCCAAACCCACATGCTTCAAACTTGCATAAAATATATGTACATGTCCAGCTGGATGCAAATGCAACATGGAGGCGGGGAGGCGCCTGGGTGGCTCAGTCAGTTAAGTGTCTGACTTCAGCTGAGGTCATGATCTCAGGGTCCCGGGATCAAGCCCCGTGTCGGGCTCCCTTTCCCACTCTTCCTCTCTCTCTCTCAAATAAATAAATAACATCTTAAAAAAAAAAAAAAAAAGGCAACATGGAGGATAGAGGAGTCAGAGCTTAGGCCCCGGGTAGGTCAGGCTGACCTGAGTTTGCAGCTGGGTTCCTCTGACGAACCTGTGTGATCTTGGGCCCCGATGTCCCCTGTCTGTGACTTAAGTTTCTTCACCTCTAAAGTACTGGACTAAGAATGCACAGCGTGGGGTTTTGGGGAGTATCAACATTCAGCTCCCCGCCCAGGCTGCCTTGCATTAATGTTGGGCATCTCTGTGACTTGTGGAAAACCCCACACCTGTCTTGGGCCACACCCCTGACAGTGTGACAGCCCTCCATAGCTGGGAGTCAGAAAGTGCCTCTAGCCACCAGCATCCTCTCACCCTCCATCTAGCTCAGAGGGTTCCATTCTTGACTGCTGCAGGAACCAGAACCTCACTTGCTCCTGCCCTACCTTTCATCTCTCAGGACAGCTGGTTGTG